AAGACAGCATTAAGATCTGTTGCTGCTGAGTACCAATGATGTAATGAAGAAAGAGAATGATGAGTTAGGTTGATTAAGCACTTACATTGAATAATAAAAGTCAAATAATGAACACTTTAAGATTAGGAATGTGTTTATCATAAGAGTGGCAGAATTTCATTAAAGTTCTCTTTGCCACCCTAAGCCCTGAAAGAGATATGTGGAATCCTTTGGGTCTGTGAAAGGGATCTATCGCTTCTTAGGAGATGGAGGCTGTACCATGCTTCTGACCATGCAAAGGCTTCAAGGAAGGTTGGTGCCTTACAGAACTGCTTTCCTCTTTCAGAACCTAAAATAATTTCACTGTTGGCTGCCAGGGTAACAACTATTGTCAGATGTTGTCTTAGCTCTACTAAGGGGAAATCTTGGGCCTGTTTATGGAGGAAGATTTGATGCCAACAGTGTGTGCCAGCACTTGCTTGAAATGTTCTGTAGGAAGTTCCATAATTGGCCATATACAGAATAACTGTGAGATGCCCAGCCCTAAGTGACACATCTACAACGGAACCTCTGCATCTAAGGCTCACAGAACATAGTGGAACAGGGGGTAGAGAGAACACTAGTACAACTCTCACCAGAGAACTTTTTCTTATGTAACAGAAGGTGGTGAACACAGAAAGCCACAACTGGCCAAAGTGTAGAGAAGAGATTGCAGCGTGTGTGTCCCTGGAAAGGACACCTATATTAAACCTCACCCACACAGGGCTCAGGGGCCATTGCAGAAGAGGGGACAGAAAAATTGAAGGAGCCAGGGTTGGTGTGTGACCATAAGGAAACAGTCTTACAGGCTTCTGGGACTTGCTAATATGAACTTATTTAAATAATATTTTATTTATTATTTTAATTTTATGTGTATGAGTGTATTGCCTGCACGTATGTATGTGTACCTATGTCGTGAAATGCTCGCAAGGTCAGAAGAGGGCATCAGATCCCCTGGAACTGGAGTTAAGATGGTTGTTAGCTGCCCTGTGGGTGCTGAGAATCGAACTCAGATCCTCCGCAAAAGCATTCAGTGCTCTTAATGGCTGAGTCATCTCTTCAGCTGAACTTATAGCTATAGTGACAGCATGCACAAGACCCATGCAAACTCACTCAGACAAAAACCCAGCATAGAATTGGGGAAATGAATAGGAGGCCCAAACCTTAGCTGAGGAACCATTAGCAGCTGATCACTGTTGGGTGAGGGAGAGTTTGTCATCTTTTTTATTTTTATTTTTTATTTTATGTGTATGAGTGTATTGCCTGCATGCATGTGAGTGCACCCATGTCCTGCAATGCCGTGGAGGTCAAAAGAGGGCTTTGGATTCCCCTGGAATTGGAGTTAAGGATGGCTCATAGCCACCACGTGGGTGCTGGGAATTGAACCCGGGTCCTCTGCAAGAGCAGTCAGTGCTCTTAATCGCTGAGCCATCTCTCAAGCCCTGAGTTTGTCATCTTTAAAGGAGTGATATTAGATAGGCTGAATAGGCTCCAGGGGATGAACTCATACTGAGGGACATCTGGGTACACAAACTTGACTCAATAGGCTTTAACATATATGGCAGAAAGCATGAAATCCAGTGGGTGGGCTATTTGGAGGGAGTGCAGATAGGGGAGTGGGTCTAAATATGATTAAGATGCATTATATGAAATGCACAAAAAATTCAATTAAAAATACATTAAAAAGTGCTCTGTAGGAACTTGGAGAGTATGCCTGTAAACCAGGAAGGTGCTGGAGCAGAGGAAGTATGACATTGAAAGGTGCACACATTTGGGTCATTACTGTTTTTTTTAATGCAATTTTATGATTTCTGTCATTTAGAGTAGTTAGGCCATTTACATTTAAGATAATTAATGAACATTAAGTTTAAGTCTATTATCTTGATTTAGAGTAAACAAAGTTTTAGTAACCATTTTCTTTCTTCTGTTAGCTTATTAAAACTATGACTGTCATTTCAGCTATTTTTAGGCTATGATAACTATAACTTATTAAAGTCTACTTCAAGAGATATTGATATTATGCTATTTCAAATATAGAAGAGTCTTACAAGCAGAATGCTTCCTGTTCAACAGCCTTTGTGCTGTTGTTGTCACAGGTTTCACGTTATGAAAATAATTTATTATTATTATTGCTTTAAACTGTCAATAATCTTTACATTTAATTACAAGAAAATGTTTTAAGGGGCTTAAGAAATGGCTGAGAGGTTAAGAGCACTGACTGCTCTTGTAGAGGACCTAAGTTCAATTCCCAGCATCCACATGGCAGTTAACAACTGTCAGTAACTCCAGTTCCAGGGGATCCGACACCCTTTTCTGACCTCCAAGGGCACTGCATGACATGAGTGCACTTACATACATGCAGGCAATACACTTACACACATAATTTTTTAAAAAGGGAAAATGGTGTGGTGGCATACGCCTTTAATCCCAGCACTCAGGAGGCAGAGGCAGGTAGATCTTTGTGAGTTCAAGGCCAGCCTGGTCTACATAGTGAGTTCCAGGACAGCTGGGGCTACAGGGAGACCCTGTCTCAAAAAGACAAAAAAAAAAAAAAAAAAAAAAAAAAAAAAAAAAAAAAAAAGGGAAAATGTTTTAAAAGTTGGCAATGCCAATTACCATTTCCAAGGCTTTTATAAATCACGTGGTGCAATTTTCCACTTGTTTGAGGAGCATCCTTCAATGATTTTTACAGTTTTCTAATGACAAGTCGGCTCTGCTTCTGCACATTTTAAGTCTGTATTTCTTCTTTGCTTTCAAAAGATATTGTTGCTACATATATTTTAGTGTAACTTTTTTCTTTCAGAAGTTTGCAAATGTTGCTCCAGTCTTTTGGCTTGCCCTCATACCAGAAAGAAATCTACTGTCATTCTTATATTTGTTGCTCTGCATACTGTATACACCATTTCTTCTTTTTTCTAAAAGTGTTCTTTTTTTTTTTTTTAAAGCGTTAAAGCCATTTTGGGTATGATACAATAATGTCATTTTCATTAGGTTTCTTGTGTTTGAGATTAAGATAGTTGGAGCTATTTGGTTACAGTTTTCAACAAGCTTGAAATTTTTTCAGCTGTTATTTTTTTAATATATTTTTTGTACTTCTTCCGTATTCCATATACTTAAATTATACATATACTTTGTTACTTGAGGTTCTTTCCCAACTCACTGATGTTCTGTTTATTATTTTTATTTCTATGTGTCATTTCAGATGGATTCTACTTAGACGCATCTTCAAGTTCCTTAGGGTTTTTCCCCCTGAAATATCCAATCTACAAATCCTTTCTAGTATACCCTTAATCTCAGACATGAAAGCTTTAATCTCCACAAGTTCAAATATAGTCTTTCCCCTCATTTCTCTATGTAACACAGTCATGCTTTCTTTTCACTGCTTGAGTATATAGAATTCTATTGTGATAGCTGTCAACTGAGTCTATCAATTCTGTCTCCTGTGTCATTTTCAGTCTGTTTTAGTGATTAGCTTTTTGTTTGCTTTACTTTATCACTGGTAGCAAATATTTTGTTCCAGTCTGTAGCTTAGTTTTTCATTATTTCATTTCATTCAAATAGCAGATATTTTAATTTTTCTGAGGTTCAATTATTGTTTTCATTTTTAGTTTAGTTTTTTACCTCTCAAGTTTGTTTTGGCCTTATATTGTTTTAAAACAGAGTTTAATGATTTAAAGCTTTCCTGTTTTCTAAAGTCAAAAAGTTTTTTCTCCAAGCACATACGAACTGAATATTAGAAATTTTCTAATTATGTCTTCATGTGCATTACATTAAGAGATTTTCCAATTTCCCACTAAATCTATGCCATTCAGAAATGTTTCATTTCCAAAACATGAGATTTTCCAGGTATCATTCTCACAGACTTCTATTTCAATATTTTGTGATCAGAGAATATATTTTTTCTAATTTGACTATTTCTATATTTTTTTTGTAGACCACAGGGATATCCAATGTAAGGTTCCACGTATACTAGAAAAGAATTTGTGTTCTGTTCTGGTTGGGTGGGGTGCTTTTCCTATTTTTATTTTCTTAAATGTCTATTGCTTGCAAATAAAACCTCACTAAATGAAGGAGCATGTCACAGAAAGTTGCATTCAGAATTCTGACGATTCCTTGTGTGTGTTTGAAGGATTAAAGATTTTATTTAGGAAGCATTTTAATAGTAAGTAGCTTTCAGAATGAACTAATGATATACAAGTACACACAATAGTGACATAAGCGATCCAGCAAATGAATGTAAACAATGAAGTTACCTCTTCATACACTTACCTCTCAGTCTGCCCCCGTGTTCTCTGTCTGCATCAGGACCTGCTGAACACATCCTGTATGTGGGAAATGATTTTTTTACTGTTTTTGTCTGATCTCTCTTCAACTTTCAGAGCTGACTGTGAACTCATTTTCATCAGAAAGTCTTGTTGGCATGTCTGTCAAGGATCATGTCCTCTGATAGGCACTGACATGATAGTCTGTATCTCTTTTTCATAGACTTTATAGTGATACTGAAAAATATAAGGCCAGGTTACATCAGATTATCAAAGATGTTAAGCCTTCTCCAAAAGTTGAGTCATCTCCTCAAACAAGTTTTTAAAAATGAGATAGAGAGTGGTCAACTAAAGTGATTCTACTCAAACCTGGCTTTCACTGAATAGTATTTCTCTTTTGAAGACAACTCTGAAAGTAGACATACCTCCATAAGACAACTGAGTTATGAGCCTTCCATATCAATGTTTTATAGATAAGAGGTTATAATTTATAAAATGATGCACAGCTCAAAGCCAAAAAAACAACCAAATGAGAAGTTCTATTCTTTTGCCTTCATATACCCAGATACACAGGGGAGGTGTCTACTTGTCTAAGCTTCCTAGATTCAGAAAAGAAAATGTTTATAAAAATAGAACATGTGGCTTTAATCATTTCTTTTCCAAACTGCATCTAAGCATTATGCCTTCAGAGTCTAAGTTCCTTGCAAACTTTTACACAGAGAAAATCTTTGTCCTTCATGAACATTTGGAACCTTAATTTCTTTCAAATAGCACTTGACAATATTATGAGGGGCACTTAGAGGGAATATACAAGGCTTTCCTGGCAGTGGAGTTGGAAGAGCTGCTTTTACCCGTCTCTCAGGCTTACTTTGTAAATTATGTGAAACACTTTTAGACAGACACTGGCACTCATAAATTATACAACTCATTTGCATATTCCAGTCATGAGACATTATGCAAAGTGACATGATTTGCATAATGGATTCCTCTTGTCGCTTCACTTGCTGTGTGCTTTTTAAAAACAAAATGAAATAAAATGAGAGCATGAAAAGGTAGAAGGATAGAGTTCCAGCCTTGCTTGATTCTACTGCAACTACAATACCAACAGCTTTCATTTTATAGAGGATAGGGGAAAGGGGGCAGAAAGCACGCATGCATGCACACACACACACACGCATGCACACACACATGCTCGCACACACATGCATACACACACAAACAAAACAACAAAGAGTCTTGCTATGAAATTTGCTCTTAATCATAATCCATGTCCTTTCCCACTAAAACCCTTCGCCATAAATAACTGAAGCAGGCCAAGAAGAATGGGAATAAAACAAACACTGAAATTTTGAGAAAAACTTTATGGAACTTTAAAATTTCTCATATGCCCATGATACTTAGGGAAGGAACAGCCCTCCTTTTTTGAAACTAAAAAACAAACAAAAATTTAAAAAAAATCTTAAAGGCCCCAGTTATTTTTATTACTAGAAAAGAAGCATTTTCCGAGTGAGGTAAGTGGTCTGGGGAGGGGCCTGTCTGCCTTGAGATGAACTTCTGAAGGGCTTTCCTATTTCAGGAGAGGAAGAAGAAAGACTGGGTTGTGTTTTGATTATTTGAGAAAATATATAATGGCTCCATATACTGTAAAGGACGAGGCAGTGCCACGTCTACTGTCGGCTCTACTCCAATAAGCAGGCAACGTTGCCTCAGCAGTTGCTAGTTTTGCTGCGGGCTTTCCCTGCCCCCCTGCACCAGTGTGGAAGGCAGAGTGTGCCAAGCGGCTGGCGTCTGTACCCTGTGGGAAAAGTTAACTGTAATTCTTCGGCTTTTAAAATCAATTAACCCGTGTGTTAATTAACGTCAAGTCGACGGGAGGAGGAGAAGAAGGGGAGGGCGGGAGGAAAGAAAAAAGCTGCAAGGGCGGATGGCAGAAGAGTTGGCACGGTGCCATCCATTCAGGGGCAACGCCACAGTTTCGTGCGATAGCAGCAGCGGGTATATGTTACCCGGCCTGTATGCGGGCCAGACAGTGCGGTAAAGCCAAGGGAGATTATCCAGACCCCCAGGAGCGAGCAGCAAGCAGCAACGCAAGGCGCAAGTGCCAGGATTACAGCCCAGGCTGCTCCAACCATGAGCCCTTCTTGGACCCTGGGAATCGGCTGCTTGGGGTTTGGGGGTCTTCCACACCAAAGAAGCACAAAGCTGACTTTAATCACTTTTTTTCATTTAAACTTGATTCTGCTGCAGTGGAGCCAGAACAGCGGATGTTTTCACACCCAGCAAGACAAAGGCCGTTGTCTCCGCCATGACACTGTTCTGTTCCAAGCAGAGGCCGGGATTCTGGACTCCTTGAAAAATCAAAAAAAAAAAAAAAAAAGGAAAACAAACAACAGATACAGCAACAATCAGAAAAAATTATCAACGACCAAAATTGTTTGCCCGTTTGCCCATGCCAAGGCTGATGCGGGCATCTGTTGCAGCAGAAGGGCTTGTGTGGGGCTATTTTTGTTTTTCATTAAAAAAATGTGTGGGGGGCATAGTGGCTTGTTTGCTATTGAACTTCGTTTATAATTAACTTTAAAAAACATCATTCAGCCTAGTCAACAGCAAACAAAGAGGAAAAGCAGACGTCGGAAGAGAAATGCCGAAGGACGCGGCATGAATGCCACAGCCGGTGCCACTTGCCATTCGGAAAACCCCAGGGAAAGATGCCAACCATACAGCTCCGAAGAGGCAGAGAAGGGAGCATAAAGGTCTACAAATAGAAGTCATAAGGAAAGAATACTGCCTTTACAACTCTGGATCGCAATTACACACAGCCTCTGCTGGGAGAAAAGAGGGAATATTTAAATGGAGCTCTAGATGGGTAGAAGTGAAGATAGCTACCTATCGATTGCACATAGATACGTCTGGAAGGCTGTATGTGTATATAAATACACATATTTCTGACAAATTGAATGTTTAGATATGTGTATACTTTGTGTTCTAGGTACGGGTATGTATATAGGTGTATATGCTTTGCATATACACATGTGGGATGTATGCATGTCTGAGAAAAAGGAGAGGAAGGCAGAGGAGAGAGAAGGAGATATGTGTATGTGCATGTATGTGTGCGTGTACATCCCATTTTCTGACCCAGGTATACACAGACAACAAAATAAAAATCATACTGGAGCAGCAAGCAGGCAGCCAGAGATTTATCTACATTCACTGCTATCACCAGGGAGATGAATGGGGCCGATCTGAAGCCCTTTTTACAAGATCCACTATGGGAGTGAAGGAGGAGGAGGGAATACCACACAGATACACACAAACTTGAAGGCAGAGGGATCTGGAAGGGACTACTGAGGAAATCCTGGTGGCATGATGCAGGGGAGAAGGGGAAAAGGCTTGTCTGTTTTAGGTGGTTGGTTTTTCGTTGTTGTTGTTGTTTTTTTTTTTTTTTTCAAACCTGAAAAAGGGTTTCAGGGAATGGCTGGTACTCACGTTGTCTGCGTTGCTGTGAATCCTGAAAGGTGTTCTGTTGGCACCAGGCGCTGAGCCAGGGGCAGGCGCTGGAAACAAAAGGGAGACAAAAAATAAAGTCATTCAATGGGAATATTAATTGCTGCTCTTGTGGATTTTACAAAACACACAAACTGTTTTCTTTTTCTTTCCTTCTCTCTCTCTCTCTTTTTTAAATTGTGGATTGGTGCGTGCCCCTTTCGCATGGAATATACAAGTAGTATGGGATTTACAGTCCATTTACGGGACTCAGGATTAACCGCGCTGGCATCTTTTGGGCATATTCTTCCTTTTATTGAATGAGCTTTTGCTGTTAATGAGGAATAATCGTTTGGCTAATGAGCTTTGAGACATTAAGAGAAAAGGTTTTTTTTTTTTTTTTTTTTTTTTTTTTTCCCCCTGTTAATCGCTCTGGTGCGACTGCATGGATGGATTACAAAAGACAGCAACAGGAATGCAGTACAAAGGGGGGGAACCTCTCCCGGAGTGGGAGAAGCACCGAGATGGGTGATGTGCCCTTATGTCTTTCCTTCCTTCTCTCTCTTTCACTCTCTCTGCCAACTGCTATGGGTTTCCATAACTCCGCAATCAAAGTGGATTATTATAAAGAGTGAAGCCTCCGCTGTTAATGTCTCCAGTGTTTAATCATCATACAGTAGAATGGTTTTATGCATATTTCATTTGCATATCATTAAATCATGTTAGCAAGGGGCATTCAGAGCCAGGAGAAGTACAAAGTTGGGGAGAGAGGGAAGAAAAAAAGGTCCTTATGATGCTTATCTTCAAACAGGGACTCGTTCCATGAGGTGTCTTCCACTTTTGCTAAAATCATTATGACTTGGAAACCTTTGAAGTTGGATACAACCTTGGATTTTTCTAACTCCTGCAGAGCGGTATATTTTTAAAAACAGCAGAACTATTCCTGCACTAGACAATTAAAGGAATATAAACTCCAGTGGGTTGAGACCAGTAGCTCTTTGGGGAACGCAGTGGCAGAGGTTTCTACAAATACCAACACTTAAAAAAGTAATAAAGAGCATCATATTTAAAACAACGAGAAAGAAGACACGAAATGTGAACATGTGGATCATATTTGTTTCTTTTGGGGGGTAATGAACTAAAGAGAGTGAAGAAGCCATCGGCAATTTATCCCTTCATTAACGAACAGTCACCTTTCTGTATGTTTGTTTTTATCCTTTAATTGTGAAGATGTCACTTTTGAAGCGATTAGTCAATTATTTTGTAGCACTCTGATCTCCCCCTCCCCCACCCCACATCCAACAGAAAAGGAAGGTGGTGGTTAGGAAATATGTGAGTATTGGGAGGATTTGGGGGGAGAAGGAATACAGTGAGTTCTTTGTAGATCTTATACATGCACAACATATTAATTGGGGGCTTTTAAAGCTCCCTCAATAGGCTATTTCATTCTTGGTAAAATAGCAGCTGGTTAGCCACTGTTGGTGACTCTTCAAATATCACTTTAACTGTTTTTATTATGTTGCTGTTGTTTTGTTTTACTTTTCCTCAGTTAAGAATGAGAATGTAGTGTCACCTTCTTTACTGAATCTTTTTTCTCCTCCATCTTCACTCCCAATTTTCAAACTGTGAAATAATGTTGGTTTAATATTGAATCCTCTTGCATGGTGTAACTGGCACAACTTGATTTGGAAATGAGATGCTATTTTATATTTAAATTATCCCCGCTCCTCCCTTACCCTCCAAAGCTTTGTCTCTGCTATGAATATTCAGATGAGGCATGATGTGATTACACTGTACAATTACTCCTATCCATGGTGGTGGCAGGGGCTGCTGGGGAGAAAGAGCCAGACAGCCTCCAAGCCAGTGTGGAGTTTTGTTTTCGGTATTTTTTCTATCTCCTTGGCGCTGGGGCACATGCAGATGTCGCTGTTGTTCTTTATAAAGCCCCAATGATATGCAAAAGCATAACGACTTGGTTTGGATGCAAAGCATCAACGAAATATTATGGATGTCTTTAAGAAAGAGAAAGAGAAAATCCTGACTGAAGGAATGTCCACATAAATTATTTTTATTTAAATGAATTCAAAGGATGGGGTGAGGCAAGTGAGAAGGAGTCACATGGAAAACATGCATAATATTAATATGCACAAGGAATTCTCACCAAGGAGAAGCTCCTCACTGCAGCTTATGGGACAAACAGGTTCATTAGGAGACAGCTCAGAGTGACTACAGCATTTTGCAATTTCAAATTTTTCCTTATTTTAAATGAAGAATCAGACAGATGTGTTTTCTTTGCATGACAGCATTGAGATGGATCCAATCTGTGAAATTTGCTGCCCAGATAGCATTTCTAATGGAAACTGGAACTAAACAAGGGCATGGCTATGGAAGGGGGGAGAAGAGAGAATACATGAAGAGGAGTAGATCCAGCCACTGCGTGGCACTTTGTAGTACAGGAGGCTTTCAGAAACCATCTTTGTTTCATTAGTCTCAGATGTGGGCTCCTGGTCCTGAGACCTATCAGGGTTCACAAAGATGAGCACTAAGACAGGCCCTTCTACGTCTAAGGCAGAGGAAAGCAGCAGCAACTTGGTACCCGTCCCTACCCCCTCAGCTGACTTCAGCTCAGAAGCCAAAAGCACAGCTGCTCTTTTGGGATGCAGTACAGTGCCTCCTGGTCCAGGTATTTGTGAAAGGAATTCTTGGTGCTATCACAGAATACGTTGCTAAGGAGCAGATGGAGTCATTTGATGCTTAAGGAGGCCTGATAATTTTTGTACCGGTTAATTCTCAGGGTAATGATTACTGTGGTTGTCTAACATTTTCAGAATGTTGAAATTATCAGCATGGATTAGTGCATGTTTACAATGAATAGAGATGGACTAACAGTGAAGGAGTCTACTGGGTGGGTTCAGAACTGATAAAATATTTGTACTATTACTCATGGTTTCAAAGGATTACCCAAGAAAGGCAAGGCCAGAAAATAGCAGATAGAAAATGAGATTTTGTTAATTTATTATTCAGGTAGATATACTTTAAAGTAGTTTCATAATTCAAATTAAAACTGTATACTTTTGTTTAAAATATCTGAAGGTAGTCTAAATTTGAACTGTGTGGATCTGTACAAATTTCTATTTGGATGCATAAGGCTAACCTAGAACTGATTTAAATATAAATATGTTATAAATTCCACTGCTTTTTACCTATAATCTCTAAAACTTCCATTTTACACACACACACACACAGACACACACACACACTTTTCAATTATCATGATACTCAAACACCATTACAGTATATCAAACTACAAAGCACTGAGAAGTAATGGCTGTTTGAAGAGTGTCTATTTAATCTTAATTATTTTGGCCCCTAACCTTTTATTCTTTGTCGCCAGAATTATAGCTGCTAAAATATGAAATAATACACATAAACAATTTCGCACAGGATCTGCAAATAACAATTCCTAAATAAATGTTAGATTTTATTATTTATTATTTTGGTGTATTATTTAGTGTTTGAGAGAGATAAGGAAAATGAAATAGTTTTTAGTGGTTTAAGTATGAGGCACAGTAAGAAAGCATTAATAGGCATCTATAGGCCTGTTACATATTAATATGAACTGTAGTTTGACTTCTGATTTCAGATGATACTTACTTTGATCAAATGACAGTAAGTTGGGAACGATGATCATGTTGCTGACTTTATGTTCTGATGGCATTTCCATCATAGTTTGTGTGAAGGGTGACAGGAACTGAAAAGTGCTCACCATTTAATCACATTGATGAGGCACTGGCCAATTTAGTCTTTAAAAAATAAGCTATTTTCAAAATAATCAATAAATTTACTATTTTCAAATACCAGTAACAATGCAGAAGGCTGTGAGTTCTTAAACTCCACCCCCAAATGTGGAAAGGCTGCTAGTGATTTCTTATTCATCCTTCCAGATAGTAATATAGCTTGCCCAGATTTTAATATACTAGCATATTCTCTGTTTTTAGCACAAATTATAGTTTTAGTCCTCACTGTTTTCTGTAAACACCATTCATCCATCTCTGTACAGCTGTGATCCTCAAGTGGCCATCACTCAGATGATTTCTTTCTTTTTAATTTGTCTTTGCTCATAGCTGAGGACATCTAGTTCAAGGCTGAGTTCAAGCAGTGAATGGGGAGAGGAACACATCACCATGCTTCCAATGTTAGGGACACCACTGCCTTGTGGATAACTTTACAGCAGACTCATTTTTCACCATTAAGAAACATGATCATTGTTGGATAAAAGAGGTTTCCTTTATTTCTAGTCATGAAGATTTTTTTAAAAAATGAGTGGTTATTAAACTTTATATAAAAGGCATCCTTTTTGCCTCCACTGAAACAAATAACGACTTAAATAAAGCTGCTAGCACAGTGAATTACAATGATTGGTTTTCAAGTTAAACTAGCCTTGCAATTGTGGGATGAATGGATTTCACTTTACAATGATGTACTTACCTTTTTACAGATTATGATATTTGATTTGCTAATATTTGTTAAAGATTTTTAAAATTAATGTGAATGATATTGGTGTAAAATTTTCTTGTAGTGATTTTGGTATTGTTATCAGGGTCTCAACTGGCCTTACAAAGTGACTTGGTAAATGTACCTCCTCCAGTGTGTTCTGAAGCTTTGTGTAGAATGTTATCATTTTGTCCTTAGATGTTGGATATGATTCATCAATAGAGCTATGATGTCTAATCAATTTTAATTTCAAATTCGAGTTTTAAAAAATTATCTAGTGCCAGACATAGTGATGTATGCCTTTAATCCCAGCGCTTGGGAGGCAGAGGCAGGGGGAATCTCTGTGAATTCCAGGCCAGTATGGTCTACATAGCGAGTTCCAGGCAAGTCAGAGCTATATGGTGAGACTCTGTCTCAAAAAAAAAAAAAAAAAAAAAAAAAAAAAAAAAAAAAAAAAAAAAAAAAAAAAAAAAAGATTTAAGACTATAAAGATTTTTAATTTCTTTAGTCAATTTTGATAAACTAGCTATACATTTCCCTCTAAGGATTGCTTTAGTTGCATTCCACACATTTTCTTTTTAATATTTGTTGGTGGGGGGGGGCTATGCACATCCTGGGGCATGTGTGGAGGTGGGGGACACTGCCA